GTTATGGCTTTCCAGTTTTTTCAACACGTCCACTGTAATGATTAGGGGGTAACAAATCATTGGGTTTTAACTTAAATTATTATGAGTAACGAGTGTTCGCATTGGTTCAATTGGGAGAGACTGCGTTCGCAAGTCCAGTGGCATCAGTACGGGCGTCCGCGTGTGGGCGATTGCGGGTGTTAAACATGGCAAGCGCGAGACGGTCGCAGGCGGGTTGGCCGCGCATGCCCGAAAGCAAGGTCCAAGTAACGATACCAGTGATTAGTTTACCCAAAACGTGAAAATAGATTCACAACTGTAATGTTCTGTTTGTGACTACTTTACGCTCGGCGGTCACTTTAGGACTCGCCTGGACTGGACTTCGAGCCATGCTCATGCTCATTTGCTCTGTTCTCTTCGAATACTAAATTTTTCCACTCCTTTAGAAGTCTTGAGTCGCAGTCATTCTGTATTCAGTAATTGAAGCCAAAACTATTGAAGCTATTGTAGCTATGATGGGGAATGAAGAATTTCTTGCTCGAGGGCTAAGCGTAAATTTAATCTTTCCCTTCTATGAAAAGGTGACTTGTTTTATGTGTGCATTGAGGCATGAATTCGATAAAGATTAGCTTGACGTTTGTATTCTTTGTTCCCAAAAGCGGTACCTTTGTTTATGTGCTGGGATGACCGCAGCGGAAGAGGCTAACGAGGATCACCACCAAGGTCACGGTCAGCATTCATTTGAGATTACTCGGGACGACCTTTTCAAACCGTACAAGCCTTCTAGGTTTGAAAAATACTTGTTCCCCTTCCTTGGGAGTCTAATCGACAAACCTGTGACGTTGTTTAGAGGTGGGGTATTTTCTGCGTTTCTTTATCCATAGAGCAAATTATTGAAAGGATTCCAAGAAAGAAGTTTTATTATTACCACCAGCGCTTTGTTCGTGTTCCTGAAATTGATAGTTGCAGGGTTGGTGACAGAATTTGTGTAGCCGAAGCTAACTCTCAATTCCATCGCGATCGGTAGGCGTTCGGCTTCCGTTCTTTTAACCATCTCTTTTGTAGGCTTGTTGATGCGAATATTGTGAGGATTCTCCGCCAACGCGTTGATGATTGCAAGAGGTGGTACGACCGTGACTACGAAGACATTGAACGCTTTTGCAAATCCTATATCAAAGATCATGAGGAAGCTGCCACTAACTTTTTCATTAAGTGTAAGCAGTTTTATGACTTCCTTATACTTGCTTCATCACTGACAACCTGTTTTGTTTCGTGGATCGCAGTGTCTACCTTAATTATCGTTGGCGTATGTCTTTTCTCTGATCCATTATAGATGGGGAACTCTACTACTGGAGTGACGTTCGTGACGCCTTCATGAAACAGAAGCATCGAATGCTCTGGGAACGCGATCATGGTCCGATAGGTCCTAAATCCGAGTCCGCCTCAGGTGACAAAGAAGCGGATAATGCTGTGTCAGTTTTGCGACGCTTCCATGCTAATGTCAATCTGCCAAAGGAGCTTCGACTCTAGTCACGTAAGTGTTTTTATTTGCCTTTCTTTTCATAAGAACTTTTGTTGGTATCTGTCCTAAGGGACAGTTATACTTAAAAAAACGCAGGGATTTTAGTCTTTATGATTAACTTGGCTTCCTAATCCCATTGACTACTCGGTGTGTCACCTATGCATGCATTGTTTTCATTTCTTCTATGGCGTTCTACCGTTGCTAGGATTTTCTGTTTCTTATTTTAGTCGATTTTATCTGCTAGCATTTGCGCTTGGTGTCATCCAGAATCAATAAGGTGATACATGTCTCTGCTTTTGTATGTCGTAAATATATAGTTTTAGAAAGTTCTGAAATTTTGGTCTTCTGTTTTGGACAACCTCTCGGAAATATCATTATAGGGTGTTTTGATCGATACACCAATATCTTTCCTATTGTCATGAACATACGATTGATTGATGGGCTGCAAATGAATTGCTGCAGTGTATTTCTTTTGGTCAGTTTAATGCTGATGATTAAGGACTCCATACCCTTATTAGACCTTGGGGTAGACCACGGA